AATTGCTCCATCTGATTTATAGGAAGGTATAAGGATATATTATTTATGTCAAGAGTTGTGGTAATATAATATGGTATCAAAAGTTTTTCGTTGTTGTTTTTTCCATTTTTATTTATTTATTTATTTGAAAGGCAGAGAGAAAGAAAGAGGTCTTCTATGGCTGTTTCATTCCCCAAATACCAACAACAGCCAGGGCTGGGCCAGGCTGAAATCAGGAGCCAGGAGCTCAATCTAGGTTTCCCATGTGGATGACAGAGAGACCCGAATATTTGAGACTTCACCTTCTACCTCCCACGATGTGCATTAGCCAAAGGCTGGATTGGAAACGGAGCCAGGACTTGAACTCAGGGACTCCAATATGGCAAGCGGGCATCCCAAGTGGCTTCTTAACCCCTTCACCAAATGCATACTTAATTTTCAAAAGTTTTTAATGTCATATTTTTAAGGGACCATATAAAGGATATACTGCATCTTAAAACTATTCTTTGTGAAATAGGATATAATATTACCAGATATTACAGGAACTTTTGTTGTTGAAAAGGTGGGAATAATAGCAAGAACTTCTAATATAAGTTATTATACATTTTATTTTAGACAAAGTTAGAGAATGTAAATGTGCTTTAGTTGTTTTTTTTTTTTTTTTGACAGGCAGAGTGGACAGTGAGAGAGACAGAGAGAAAGGTCTTCCTTTTGCTGTTGGTTCACCCTCCAATGCCGCCGCTGCAGCCGGCGCACCGCGCTGATCCGATGGCAGGAGCCAGGAGCCAGGTGCTTTTCCTGGTCTCCCATGGGGTGCAGGGCCCAAGCACCTGGGCCATCCTCCACTGCACTCCCTGGCCATAGCAGAGAGCTGGCCTGGAAGAGGGGCAACTGGGACAGAATCCGGCACCCCAACCGGGACTAGAACCCGGTGTGCCGGCGCCGCAAGGCGGAGGATTAGCCTATTGAGCCACGGCGCCGGCTAGTTTTGAAGTCTGCACTAGGGTTATATGAGCTATCATGGTTCATAAAACCTTTACTGCTGTTGACCATGGGAGAAGGAGATGAACAAAATAAACCATTTTAAGAAATTAGAGTTTAGGGGCTGGCGCTGTGGCACAGCGGGTTAACACCCTGGCCTGAAGTGCTGGCATCCCATAAGGGCGCTGCTCCACTTCCTATCCAGCTCTCTGCTATGGCCTGGGAAAGCAAAAGAAGATGGCCCAAGTCCTTGGGCCCCTGTGTCTGAATGGGAAGATCCAGAGGAAGCTCCTGGCTCCTGGCTTTGGATCAGTGCAGTTCTGGCTGTTGCGGCCAATTGGGGAATGAACCAGCAGATGGAAGACCTCTCTCTCTCTCTCTCTCTACCTCTCCTTTCTCTGTGTAACTATGAATCTCAAGTAAAAAATAAATAAATCTAAAAAAAATAGAGTTTAGGGGCCAGCACTGTAGTATAGCAGGTTAAGCCACCATCTGCAGTGCTGGCTTCCCATATGGGCACGGTTCTAGTCTCAGCTGTTCCACTTCCAATCCAGTTCCCTGCTAATGTGCCTGGGAAAGCAGTGGAAGATGGATCAAGTCCTTGGGCCCCTGCACCCACATGGGAGACCCTGAAGAAGCTCCTGGCTCCTAGCTCCTGGCTTTGGGTGGCTCAGCCCAGCTGTGGCGGCCATTTGGAGAGTGAAACAGCAGATGGAAGATCTCTCTTTCTCTCTCTCTGCTTATTTCTCTCTAACTCTGCCTTCCAAATAACTAAACTCTTTTTTTACAAAAGAACTTAGAATTTAAAAACAGTATATGGGGCCAGCGCTGTGGCACAGTTGGTTAGTCCTCTGCCTGTGGGGCCGGCATCCCATATGGGCGCCGGTTCTTGTCCTGGCTGACCCTCTTCCAATCCAGCTCCCTGCTATGGTTTGGGAAAGCAGTGGAGGATGGCCCAAGTCCTTGGGCTCCTGCACCTGCATGGGAGACCAGGATGAAGCACCTGGCTCCTGGCTTCAGATAGGTGTAACTCCGGCCATTGCAGCCATTTGGGAAGTGAACCAAGAGAAGGAAGACCTTTCTCTGTCTCTCCCTCTCACTGTCTGTAACTCTACCTTTCAAATAAATCAATAAAATCTTTAAAAAAAAGTATAATTTTAGGGGTCTGCATTGTGGCATAGTATGTAATGCCACTGCCTGTGATGCAGGCATCACAAATGGGTGCCAGTTCGAGTCTTGGCTGCTCCTCTTCTGACCAGGCTCCCTGCTAATGTGCCTGGAAAAAGCAGCAGAGGATGGCCCAAGTGTTTGGGACCCTGTACCCGCATGGGAGACCCCAGGGGAAGCTCCTGGCTCCTGGCTTCGGCCTGGCCTAGCGCTGGCCATTGCAGCCATCTGAGGAGTGAACCAATGGATGGAAGTGCTCTCTCTTTCTCTTTCTCTAATTCTGACTTTTGAAATAAATAAATGAATCTTTAAAGAAACAGTATAATTTTATAGAGGGATACTTATGGTGGTAACTAGAAAGTAATGCATTAACAAATTGAGAAATACTTCACACCAGGAAGAAAATTGCAGGATAAATTCCCTAGGCAGAAGACACAGGCTGAAGAGACAGAAGACTGGGAGTAGACTCCTTCCGCTTTCCTCATCTTATGTCCAGATATCTGTTTTTACTTCGCTTTTTAAAAATTAAGGTAAAGTTTGCATTACATCAGACTAACCATGTGCAAGTATACAATTCAGTGTTCCTTAGCACATACATCATGTTGTACAGTCACAAACTCCACCGAGTTCCAAAATATTTTCATATCCGTTCCATATTCACTCACCTCATTTCACCCCAAAAGGAAACACCAACAGAGGCTGGTGTTGCGGTCCAGTAGGTTAAGTGCTGGGTCTAGTACTGGCTACTCAAACTAGCTCTCTGCTAATGTGCCTGAGGAAGCAGCCCAAGATGGCCTGAGCACCTGGGCCCCTGCTGCCCACGTGGGAGACCTGGATAGAGTTCCTGGTTCCTGGCTTCAACCTGGCCCAACTTTGGCCATTGTAGGCATTTGGGGAGTGAATTTGCAAATGGAAGATAGATATTGCTCTCTATCTCTCCCTCTCTCTGTAACTCTGCTTCTCAAAGAAAGAAAACACTATAACCACTGGGCAATAACTCTCTTTTCCCCATTCCTCCAGTCACTAGCAATCATCACTTGGCTTCCTGTCTCTACAAATTTACCCATTCTGGTCATTTCATATAAGTAAAGTATATACTGTGTTATATATATATATATATTTTTTTTTTTTGACAGGCAGAGTGGACAGTGAGAGAGAGAGACAGAGAGAAAGGTCTTCCTTTGCTGTTGGTTCACCCTCCAATGGCCGCCGCGGTCGACGAGCTGCGGCCGGCGCACCACGCTGATCCGATGGCAGGAGCTAGGAGCCAGGTGCTTTTCCTGGTCTCCCATGGGGTGCAGGGCCCAAGCACCTGGGCCATCCTCCACTGCACTCCCTGGCCACAGCAGATGTGTTATATATTTTTTAAAGATTTTATTTGAAAGGCAGAGTTACAGACAGAGAGGGAGAGACAGAGATCTTCCATTCACTGGTTCACTCCCCAAATGGCCACGACAGCTGGAGCTGGGCCTATACGAATCCAGGAGCCAGGAGTTTCTTCAGGGTCTCCCACATGGGTGCAGGGGCTCAAGCACTTGGGCCATTTTCTACTGCCTTCCCAGGTCATAAACAGAGAGCTGGATGAGAAATGGAGCTGCCCGGACAGCAACTAGCACCCATATGGGATGCCAGCGATGCAGGTGGAGGCCTAGCCTATTATGTCAAGGTGCACACCCGACAACGTGTTATCTTTTGTGTCTGGCTTCTTTCACTTAGCATGTTCTAAGATTCATCCACATTGTAGCATGTATCACTAGTTTATTCTTTTTTATAATTGAGTAATATTCCATGGTCTGGATATACCATTTTTGTTTATCCATCCTCTGTTGAAAGACATTTGGGTTGTTGTACCTTTTGGTTATGAATAGTGTTACCATGAACATTTATTAAAATATTTTTGTTTGAACATTTGTTTTCAAGTTTTTGAGTATATACCTAGGAGTGGGATTGCTGGGTCATGTAATAAAATTCTAAGTTTAATTTATTGAAGAACCAACAAACTATTTTTCATGGCTGCTAAACTATTTTAAAAATGTAGTTATTATCATTTTATTTGAAAGAGAGAGAGAGATCTCCCATCTACTTGTTCATGCTAAATGCTGGCAACAGCCAGGGTTGGGCCAGGAAGATGCCAGGAGCCAGGAACTCCATTTGGGTTTCCCAGTGAGTAGGAGGCACCCATATACTTGAGCCATCACCTACTGCCTACCAAGGATAGCTGTACCATTTCACATTCTACACAATTCTTGAAATCTATGCACACAGGGGTCTTCAAAAAGTTCACGGAAAATGAACGTTAAGGAAAAATTGTGCATGGATTTCAAAAAGTTTTTGCAGCAAAATAAGCTTTTCTTGTAGTACCATTTGCCTGACCTTTTTGAAGTACCCTCATAGAAGGGTTCTACTTTTTCCACATCCTTTCCAATGCTTGCTATTTTCCACAGACAGCCTAGTGGACGGTAAGTGGACTTTATTGTACTTTTGCTTCGGGTTCCTTTAATGACGAATGACAGATAATTTTGGTAGCGTTGTGGAAGCCGAAGCAAAGGGAGGGTGTTGACTTGAGGCCATAACAGCCCTGAGCTATGGCTATGACGATGGAAAAGGATGTAAAAATTGAAGAGCCGCCCGGTGGCCAGTTAGCACTGGAAGGACTTAACGCGCTGGCGTCTTGCAATTCTACTCCCATGCACATAGTACGCCCAGTGAATTTTTGTTAGGCGAGCAGCACCCGCGCTTCTGTTGAGCACTGTCACGCCCGGAGCCAGCCAATCAGCTTCCACCACCCGGACGGCCGATCCCAGATTGGCTGAGTGCGCCTCTCTAGCTTCCGTCTCTATGGTTCGGGGAATCTCCAGGTCGGGGGCTTGACCGATCTGGCTTTTGCGCGTGCGCGAGCCCAGGCGCGTGCCCGCCCTCGCCCAACTGTGCGACCCCGCGGGTGGGAGGGGTGGGTCTGGGAACGTTGCGGCGACCGCCGCGGCCCCACACCCAGGGCTGTTCCCTGGCGGAGACTGCGCCGGGGAGTTCTCCGCCGTCTCCTTGGGTGGCAGCCACCCGGACCCCAGATGGTGGGTCCGGAGGATGCCGCAGCCTGTTCGGGAAGAAACCCCAAGTTGCTCCCGGTGCCGGCGCCGGAGCCCGTGGACCAGGACGGGAAGATGATCCGGGCCACGGGCGGCTTTGGCGGAGGCGTCAGCGCTGTGGAGCCGCCTGAAGAGGAGGAGGAGGAGGAGGAGGAGGAGACGCCGCCGCGGCAGCTCCTTCAGTGTTACCTCGCGGCTGCCGGTGCACAGCTGGAGCCGGGGCTCTGCCACTGTGCGGTGCCCAGCAGCCAGGCCGGCGCCCCGCAGTTCGCGGCAGCGCCTCGCTCGGACGCTTGCCCGCCGGGCTCGGGATCCAAGCACCTTGGCGCCGAGGCGGCGGATGTCCGCGCGCCACGGCACGGAGGCATGATCAACGGGGACTCGGGCTTTCTGCCTGGCCGGGCCGGTCGCGACCTAGAGGAGGTTCGCGGGCTGGCCCGCGCCGGCGGCCCGGAGCCGCGCCGCCGCCGCCCCTGCGGCCGCCTCCGCCTGGAGGGGCCTGGTGACGAGAGCGCGGACCGCGCGAGCAGCCCGTCGGACTGGGCCGCGCCGCTCGAGGACCCGCTGCGGAGCTGCTGTCTGGCGACTGCGGACAGCACGGAGCCCGAGGGCGCGGGCAGCGGATCCGGGGGCAGCCTGGCCAGTGGCGGTAGCAGCAGCGAGGACTTGGGGCGGCCGGGAGCCGGCGGTCGGGGTCTGGAGGAGGACGCGCCCCCGGCCACCTCGGCCGAGAGGACTCGTGGGGGCTTGGGCGCCGAGCCGCGCCTGTGCTTGCCGGACGTTCATTTGAACTCTCGGAACACGTTCGAGGTGAGCCGCCGCCAGAGCGCCCGGGACCCCCTGCCCCCGGCGGGGCTGCCGGAGTCCTCGGCCGCCTCCGAGCCGGGCTCCGCGGGGACCGCTGCCCGGGCTCGACGGACCGGCGGCTTCGCCGACTTCTTCGCCAGGTACAGCGCAGCCTGCGCCGGAGCTGGGGCCGGGGCCGGGGCCGGGGCCGGGGCCGGGGCCGGGGCCGGGGCCGGGGCCGGGGCCGGGGCCGGGGCCGGGGCCGGGGCCGGGGCCGGGGCCGGGGCCGGGGCCGGGGCCGGGATGGCCGCCTCCTGCCGGCCCCCGCGCGCGTCCGTGCTTAGCTTTGATTTGTTGCCGAGAGAAGAGGAACTGGATCTACTTGTGTTTCTGGAGAAGTTGCGCGCTCCGTGGGGAGCGGATTTTTCTGTTGCTCTGTCGACTGGGGGCTGTACGTGCTAGTCACACCTGATTTCTCTGCTTTCAGATCTGGCCAGCCTGCTAGTGCCATTATCTCCAGTTGTCTTTTCCTGAAGAGCCGATAACCTTCTATGTCTCTATGTCTCCGATTTTTTTTTTTTTAATTGTACTGCAAGGATTTGCAAAGATTGGAGGGGCGGTATGGGCGTTCGGGTGTGGTTGTGAAAGGGAAGTCATTTTGCAGAGCTGTTTTATTTGCGTGGAACATATAAACCCATTTAAGTAGTTTGGGGATGCTTGAAATTCGAAGGGATTGCGGCTCATAGTGTTTAATCGGTTTCCCCCACTGTGATCTTTATTAAAAATTAAACTAATTTGTGTTTAGAATTTGATTCTAGCCTTCTAAGCCAAATTACTGTAGCGCTTAGGAAGCTCGGTTTCTTTGCTTCGCTCAGATATCCCTTCACTTTTTTTCAACAGCTTCTTATTAGTTTTTTTTATCTTGTTTTGGTGATTTGATAAGATGTCCTTGAAATACGGTGCTGGACATTGTGAGTCTAAGAATGGGGCTTTGTTGATTAATGGGGATGCATAAGCAGAGAAGTTTATAGAAAACATTAACATTACTGAGAAAACAGTTTCTCTTGAGATAGATTTTGACATGCTTATAAAATTTTGTTTTTTAAATTTTTGGGCAAATAAGAAAGTATTTTGTACTTGTAAAACCTTCCATTTTAGAATTTTCTGTTTTCCTTCCTTTTTGAGGGATCTTGAGTATAGTCGGAAGTGAAAGCAACCAATTCTGCAGCTTAGGTTTCAGGAGGTTGTACAATTAGTGTGCAAGCTGCTGGACACAAAGATGCAGTTTTATGATTGCAATTGATATTATCCCTTATTTTTCCTGCTTATGTAAGTTTACAAAAAATTTACAAAGTTTCTTAAAACAAGAATGGGAAATTCTAATTTCAAGTATTCCTAGGACAAAATATATAATAAGGAGATCTGTGTTTGGGTCTGTAGTTGCAAAAATTATATTCCAAAATGTCTCAAGGTGAGATGAGTTTGTATCTTTGTGATACTATGTGGCCTTTGGGCATCTATTGGTTATTGTATCTGTCTTGGTTATGTTTTAAGGTCAGGTGGGAGGAGTTTTAGACCTGGAAGGAGCTTTGGAGATCATCCTGAGTGCTTGCTTTGTGCCAGATGTTGGGAATAGAGATGATTTGAATAATGATCCTTGACCTGGAGGTGGAGTGTCTCTTCGTGAGGATTAAGTTTGAAGACAGATAAATGCATTGTAATTTATGAACAATGACAGCGCAAACTTATGTATAAGAGGCTTTCATATTGTTAGCAGTAAGCATAAAATTTTATCAAATTAAAGTTTTTCTTTAACTTATAGACTTTTTTTTAGATTTATTTATTGAAAGAGTTATATATAGAGAGAAGGAGAGGCAGAGAGAGAGGTCTTCCATCTGCTGGTTCATTCCCCAATTGGCCGCAACAGCTGGAGCTGTGCCGATCCAAAGCCAGGAGCCAGGCGCTTTCTCCAAGTCTCCCGCGTGGGTGCAGGGCTCAAGGACTTGGGCCATCTTCTGCTGCTTTCCCAGGCCATAACAGAGAGCTGGATTGGAAGTGGAGCAGCTGGCACTTGAACCAGCACCCATATAGGATGCTGGCACTGCAGGTGGTGGCTTTTACCTGCTATACCACAGCGCCAGCCCCTAACTTATACAGCATTAGCAGCTTTTTATTAATATAGCCAGATAGCATTCATGTGGCTACATTATTCATACATATTGGAGCACTGGGTATGAAATCAGAAAACTTAGGTATTCAAAAGTTAATTTCTCTAGGCCTCATTTTTCTTAATTGAGATCTGATGTCAAGAGTCTAGGGGTTGGGCCAGAGTTTTGGTGCAGCAGGTTAAACTGCCACCAGGTGACAATTGCATCCCACATTGGTCTGAGTCCTGGCTACTCTGCTTTGGATCCAGGTTTCTTCTGATGTGCCTGGGAAGGCAGCAGATGATGGCCCTGCCACCCATGTAGGAGGTCTTCACTCCTGGTTTTGGCCTGGCCTAGTCCATTTGGGGAGAGAACCAGCAGATGGAAGATATGTTTCCCTCTGTCTCTCCCCTTCTCTCTGTCTTGCCTTACCTTTCAAATGGATAAATGAATCTTAAGGAAAAAAAAAAAAACACTTCAAGAGTCCTTGCTTTAATATGAGATTTTTGGGAAAGGGCAGAATCAAAGGCATAGTTTTTCTCTTAGCATTTAGATAAAGCTTAACTGTTTTTTTTTTTTAATTTTTAAAAATCTATTTGAAAGGCAGAATTAGAGGGAGATAGGGAGAGGGAGATAAAGAGATATCTTTTATCTGCTGGTTCACTCGGCAAATGGCTGCAATGGCCAGGGGTAGGAGCCAGAAACTCCATCCCTGTCTCTGATGTGAGTGGCAGGGGCCCAAGTACTTGGTCTATCTTCTGCTTTCCCAGGCACATAGCAGGGAGCTGGATTAGAATTGGAGTAGCCAGGACTTAAACCGGTGCTCTGATAAGAGATGCTGGCATGGCAGGCGGCTACAGCATAATGTCAGCCTGTTACCTGGATTCTGCAATTCTTAAAAGCAGGGACTGTGACATTCATTCGGGAATCTACAATACACAGCACTGGTGTGAAGAACCCCTTTCAGACTGAGTTGAATTAACAGCTTTGATGGACTTCTCTTTTTTACTGTTCTCTAGGTGGTGTAATTGTAAAAAATTTTCTATCCTCAGGCAAAATAATCAGAATTAGGCTTCTCTGAGCAACTCTAGAGGTTCCCCCTACCTCCTACCTTCTAGTTGACATCTTTAGCTCTGAAGTTTGGGGCCAGGGTTCCCTTGGGGAGTGGCATGTTTAGGGATAGATTCATGTTCTTGGGTATAACCCCTGCTCTCACTTAATTTAAGTGAGAAAGAGAGAGAGCTCGAGTGAGCTGGTGGCAGACTAGGATTCGAAACTAGCACTCTTGATTTCTGTCCACACGTATGCTCGCTCATCACCTGTTTGTCTTACAGCTTTTTTCTCTGCTCCCCCTTTTATTCTCCATGCTTCCCTTTTCCCTCGCTTAACTGGGAAAAAGTCTGTAACAGAAAACTTTGGAAAAAGTAGTTTTGTGTTTGTTTTACTTTAAACATGGAGGGAACATTTTATGGCAATATATTTATTGTTATACACATTGTTGTGGTCAGTTAAGACCCATCATTGACAGGAGCTTCATTGACTAGGTAGAAATCACGTAGGAGACAGAGAATTTGTTTAGGACTGTTGTCATTGTGGAGGATCTTTGCTTCCAGATTAGGGGGGTTTTGTTCCAGTGCCTGCTGGGGTCTTGTTTCACCTTCACATAGGCACCTCCCTATGTTTGTGGTGACTTGTCCAGGGGACTCCTAGCAGTAACATTCCCTCAAATCCCTGACCTTATAAAAACTAAAATGCTGAGTGAACAGCACTGCTCCATTTTCACCAACTCAGCAATGAGGAAGACTGAAAACTTTTGAAATCTCTTGGGTTTCGAGGCTAGGCATTGTTCCTAAGGACCCATTTATTACTGTGTGTGTGTGTTTATCTTTGTTTTTCTAAATTACTTGTTTGAGAGACAGAGAGACAGAAAGCTCGCATCCACTATTTTACTCTCCAAATGGCTGCAGTGGCCTGTCTGGGCAGGTCCAATGCTGGGAGACAGGAACTCAATCTAGGTCTCTCACATGGGTAGCAGAAACCCAGTTATTTGAGCTGTCTCTGTTGCCTCCCAAGGATTGCATTGGCAGGAATCTGAAATCAGCAACAGGAGCTGGGAATAAAACCCGTTTCTCTGATGTGGGATGTGGGTGTCTTAACTGCTAGGTTAAATGCCTGCACCAGTTACTCTTTTTTTTTTTGTAATATTTTTTATTTATTTATTTGACAGGTAGAGTTACAGACAGTGAGAGAGACAGAGAGAGACAGAGAGAAAGGTCTTCCTTCCGTTGGTTCAATTCCCAAATGGCCGGTACAGCCAGCGCTGTGCTGATCCAAAGCCAGGAGCCAGGTGCTTCTTCCTGGTCTCCCATGCGGGTGCAGGGGCCCAAGCACCTGGGCCATCCTCCACTGTCTTCCCGGGCCACAGCATAGAGCTGGACTGGAAGAGGAGCAACTGGGACTAGAACCCGGCACCCATATGAGATGCCAGCGCTGCAGGTGGAGGGTTAACCTAGTATGCCACCGCGCTGGCCCCATGTACCAGTTACTCTTTGAAAAAAATATAGTAGTTTTAGATTGTTACAAAAACAGTCAGAAGAGTTCTTCAAGCAAATTCATGTCTTGATGTTTTCAAGCTAGAATGATTTATTTTTTACATAGATAGAATCTTAATGGTTTTCTTTTTTGTTTATTTTTAGTCCATTTAATACTTCTGAGACTTGTTGGGGGTTACAGTGGCAGAGTTACTGTTATTTAGAAATACACAAGTAACTATCTGTGTGTCCTTATAGTGATGATAGTTTTTTTTTTTTTGTGAAGTCTACATAATGAGTCATAAGAATTTGGTAGCCCCTCCTCAGAATCAGCCCTTAAGGCATTTGGATCTGGCTAAAAAGCCCATGAGAGTTTCTCAGGCATGGAAAGCCAAGACACCGTGGCAAAAAATGACCTAAATGAAAGATCTCTGTGAGTGAGATCCTAGTGGAAAGAATGGGCCATCAAAGAAGGAGGTACCT